GGAATACAAGCAAAAGTACAAGGAAACTTGTGCTCAAAGTATATTATTTTGTTTAAGATAATTATATGTTTAGTATGCTTTTAACACGGAAAACAGTTTTACCAAACGATTAAGAAATCAACTTGTAGAAACAGGTTTCAAAACTAGGGTAACGAACTTGTGAATCATGTAGCAAAACGTATTACTTTATAAAGGATTCATGCAAATCATAAAAAGGATTTTCCATATTATTACTTGTAAATTTGTTAGTCTAGTTGGAGACACGTCCTTGGTAACACTCACCACCGAAACAGAGTGTAGGACTAGCACTTATGACCAGAATCTCTTGTAGGGAGAGCGTGACTGTTGTGTATAGATCTATACGGGATTGACTATCTCGCACCTCGCTGCTAGCTACAGTGGGATCGGCAGGTCTACGGGTGACAAAGTCATAAAGGATACTGGCCCCGATACGGGCCATATCAAGTTAATGTATGGTTATAAAACTCACAATGTAGATAACAGAGATTTACTTTTGTAATAATGAATCAAGTGAACTAACCTCAAAGGAATAACCGATTTGATTACTGGAAGGTACTAATGGTACCTTCAGGATTTAGTTCATCACATTTTCTTTTATTAGTTTTATTTATGTAACCAGGGTTTTTAAAAGAAAACTACGTTTATCGATATAAGTATGGTAGATACTTGTACACCTCAGTTTCGAACGGATAACCAACCATCAACTTTTAGGGAAGATATAGGATTTTCCCGGGATAACTCGGCTTCTCATAAACAGATTGTTTAACAAGTAACTATCGGATATTCATATTCATTCCACGACCCCTTGGATTGTACATATCTCGTATGAATCTGGAAGTCATGGAAGGAATGAGTTTTCAAACACGCTTTTCATAAGAAAATATAGGATTTTCTTGAGGAACACTCTTCAAAAGGATTCAAAGTAACATTTTTCCCACCAAAACTAAATGCTTATGAACTCACCAGCTTTATGCTGATATTCTTTCAAAACTGCTTGTATTCTCAGGGAATTAGTAGACAGCCAGGGATTTGGAGAAGTCGGAGCGTTAGAGTCACGTCTTTCCATTTTACTTTTGATATGAACAAAACTATGTATTAAACAATGTAAACCTTTTTCATATACGTATTCAATGTCTGGTTGTGTTTACTATGCTTGTTATGATACAATTGTTGTGATACTACGCATGACGTCAACCACCCCCGAACGTTTTCGCCGTTCCGGTTTGGGGGTGTGATAGTCTTCCATGCAAACGTCATACTAACAAAACACATAATCAGCTAGCATATCACATATCATAAAATGGGCTGGCCTTGGTGCCTTAGACCCATTGGTATGGTGAGGAGACTCACTTGGCACTGCTGAAGCCCCGCAGCTGAAACTCCCCTTGCTGGTTGACAGATTCCCGAACTGTCAACATCAAACAATACCCAATTAATAATTGGGTTCCAACACATAACCACAACTCTACACTTGGGGTAAAAGACTACTTTACCCTAACTCAGCTTTATTCAATTCAAGGCCCAATTCAAAGCCCAAAAGCCAAACCATGGACCAAACCCCAACACATGGCCCAATTTTCCAAATTGGGCCCAAAACTCTATATAGGCTTATCTTAAGGCCCAACCACTTATTCCAGTCCAAATGATTGGCATTCTGATGGTACAATAGCTAATAGTCCTCAAGGCCCAATTATGGCCCAACTTTCCAAATTGGGCCCAAGCCTCTCTAATGGGTCCTATCCTAAGGCCCAATGATTTCTTTAGTCCATAACCTGTTCCCAATTGGCCCAATAAGAACCCAAATCCAATTGAGGGTTTCTCGCATAAAATATCGATTAGGGTCAAGTGTTCCTACTTAACCCATTAAGGACTTAATCCATTAAGTCCATTATTGCCTTAAGTTCATTTACCAATGATTATTAATTAATATTTTAAATTCATTAAATAATCTCGATGCGGTCCGGATAAGTCCCAAATTAGGGTTTCGTGACATTAGGGTTTTCCAAACCCTAATTAGGGTTTCCAACCCATCTTAGCCCAATAGGCCCATAGCCAAATCCTTAAGCTCATTAGGGTTTCAGCATCCAAACGAATCAAACACAATCATGCAAGCACACCGCCACCCGACACGGCGGTCGGTGGCAGCAGGAGGCGGCAGCCACCACCTCACGGTGGTGGTTAGGGTTCCTTTCTTTCATTATTCCATTTTCTATTACATTTTACAAGTGAAAATTCCCAAAAGTAACACATATACTAACTAAGCTAAACATACACACATATATAACCACCTTGTGGTGGCCTTTGGCGGCAGCCACCACCTCACGGTGGTGGCAGTGGGGATTTTCCTTCGGATCTCCGGCCATACAAACATTCCAGCAGCCTCATACCAATACTACAATCGAACATAACCACCACAAATCACTTCTGGTCATGAATGAGTCCAGCCACCCCTACAGGTGGCGCAAAACGACGACGAGGGTGTAAGATGACGGCGGCAGCGGCACAGGAAACGACAGCAGCAACGGCTACCGGTGACACAGCTCCGATCTTCGACTTCAAACTCCCGACAGACACAACTTCATCCGACTGCTCTCGGTGGGTCTTCATTCTTCGCCGACAGAAGAGATGTGTGAGATTGACTTCGTCGGAGGAGGATACAGCAGCGAACGACCCAAGGTTTGCCTCTTCCGATCGTCGACTGCCATGGCTCCCAAAGGCAACCTTCGTCTTTAGAAGCGGCTCCTCGGGTGGTCCTTCGATGGTAGCGATGAGATGATGGCTGGGAGAGAGGGAGAGCTATAGGGTTTTGTGGCTGAAGGATGAAGAGGAAGTGAGGGGTGCGGCCGACCTTCACTTAGGGTTAGGGTTTGGCAACCCTTAAATACCCACTCCATTTTAAATGTTCTCCATAATGACCAAAATGGTCCCTCCAACTCCTATTTATTTCAAAATAGATCCATATTTGACCTTTTTAACCCTGTCTCTTAAAACCCTTTACAAATCAAGTCCTATACTTACCAAATTGCACCTTAGCCTCCAAAATCTTTTCAAAATAAATTCCAAAATTACTTTTTAACCCCTGAATAATCAAAATTATAACATTTGGCTTCCCAAAACCAACATCCCACTACTAATATAGATTTAGGGCAATTATTTGTTTATTAAAATTTTATCTATTTATTTATTAATTAAACAGGATGTTACACAATGTCTTCTAACATCTTCACAACTAAAAAAAACATTGAATACGTTCTTTTCTCATAGCGCCTCCATATCGCCTCACCATCTATCGTTCCTCCACCGATCGTTCTCCTCCTTCTGACCGACCTCCATAATCACTATCCACCATACACACCAGAATATCGGCGATGCTTGCCTCCTCCTCCGTCCACTGCCGGCTTCATCCACAGGTACGAGAATCTGTTCTTCCCTAAAATCAGATGTCAGTTTCTTTCGACATCTAATCTGATTGAATAATAATCACGTGATTTTGGGCATGTGGAATCCTTCTAATTTTGTTTTTTTCTCATCTGAATTTCTTGGTTTGGGTATATGAAATCCTTATAATAATCAGGTTCATACAGAGGTGGCGATTTCATATTGCACACCAAGTGTTCGATAAAAGTCCTCAAATAAATCAAAAGTTTTATTGGATCAAGAACAGGGGCTGATGCATCTTTAACACATCCTGGTGTTTGCAAAACCCCAAGCAATATATATAGAAGTGTATAAAGAACGGAATACCACTTTTGAAATTATTAGTAGATTATCTATTTCAACTCAAGTTCGTTGTGAAAGCAATATAAGAGCCTCCTTTTAAATCAAGTTGTGGCGTTCTCCAACCGTCGAGGATTAGGGCATTAATCGGAAATTTAGGATTAATTGGATTTGGCGGGATTAATCGGTCAACAAAAGTCAACAAAAGTCAATAAAAGTCAAAAAAGTCGAAAAAAGTCAAAAAAAAGTCAAAAAAATGTCAACAAAATTTAATAAAATTTTAAAAAAAATTAAATAAATTTTAAAAAAAATTCAAAAAATTAAAATTTTTTTTTTCAAAAAATCAACTTTTTTTACTCCAAAATTTTCAAATTTTCAAAATTTCGAATATTATACCAAAATGTTCATATTTTCGTATTTCCAAATTACAATTTTTCTTATTTTCTAATTTTGAAGTACTTGTTTTTCTTAAGATATATTAATATTTAATTAATTTTAATAGTTTATTAATAATCTATGGTCTCCGATTAATCCCCGTCAAGACCGATTAATCCCTTAACACCAGTCGACCGTCGAGCTACCGTCAAACGATTTTTACAACCTTGTAACAAATGAGTTCAAAACACATAGATTGATTATCAAGATTGCTCGATGCTCAAGCAAGAAAACTAGACTTTGTTAATGACGATCAAATGACCATATTGTGCTAAATGTTGTAGTTGCATCTCAGAGAAGAAGATCAAGAGGATGGATTTTTAAAGTTCTTTCATTGTAAAAATATTGATATTATATCATTTTTGTTTGTTGTATTTTATTATTATTATATATTATAAATATTGTTTATATATGATTTGTTTGTTGTAGCATTTTCTTATCTATTATGATGAAATAATTATTAGATGTTGTAAAACTCAAATAAAATGTTGTAAAATTAGTTTATTTAAAATTAAGTTTATTTTTCAGCAGTCTGCAGACGTAAAAAAACAAACAGACTTCTTATTACAGACTGCAGATGTTTGGTCCACCTCTTCTGTTGCAGAGACTTGCAAATGTGGTCCGCAGACCGCAGACATTTTGGCTTCAGAAAAACAAACAACACCTTACTACCTATTTGAAATGAAAACTCTATCCGTTTAAGACAAGTTCTTTGGATTCCATGCAAAGGCTCTCGTTTCATACTATTGTTTTTTCAAATTTAATCATGATAAATGTAGCGAAGATGTGCAAGCTAGAAAAAACTAAATCCTTCATCAGAATCTCTTATGCATCTAAATCATGATAGGTTGCTGTTGAAAGAAGCTAAAATGATATTCCAGAATGTAATGGGTATCACATTTCATTTCAGATTTCTTTTAAACAGAAGACCCTTAAACGGGTGAGTACAGATCAAATCGCGGATCCAAAATAACATATTTCTTATTCAATGGTTAATTTTTATAAGATGCAAAAGATGGGTTAATTTGTGTAAAGTGATAAATTCTTGAATATACTTGTTATATCCTAATTGATGGGCGATCATGTCATTAACTTTTTGTTTGTTTGTCTGTTTTCTCATTTCCACATCAAACGGATTCACTTTTACATTCGATCCCATCGTTTCGCCCCTTCTTCCTTCACGTATTTAAAGGTGCAGACGATACGGTTTCCAGAATTTTCGTAAACTCAAGCACAAACTTCTGGCAGCGTCTCCGCCTTTTTCATCGGTGAAAACCCTAATTCTCTTTACTTATTTGTTGATCGAATCATCAGTGTCGTATTTACATTGTATTCCATTTCCGATTGAAGATCGAGATTAGAGTTTTTTAGGTTTAAATTTGCATGATGGCTTGATTTTCGACTTATCTTTTGCTATTTTTCCCATTTCGTCATTTGCTATATGCTTAGTTAAATCCTAGCTGACGATTACTAGATTTCTGGCTGTGCGTCGGGTTCTAATAGGTTTTTATGATACTGAGCTTAATTTTCCCCGCTTCACCCGGTATTATCTCTTCTTTTTCTATCAATGATTGGTCATTTGCCTTGGAAGTTGCTTATTACTACCTTGGTTCGTAGATTGAGTGTGTATTTACGAAGTACATTTTCTCTTCTTTTATTTGCGACATGAACTGTTTTTAGTGTTTGATAGAAATATGTCCTAATTATGATTTTCTGATTCTTTGTATTCAAAATCATTGCGATTATTGTATAGTTATCTAATGCAAAACTGTCGACCATTTCAATTTCTAAGAGGGTGTTTGGATGTATATTTTCTGAGTATTGTCAATTGACATGAATAATCAGAATCACTAGCCTGATTGATTGTAGCTAGGGTTTATTATACAGTTTAACACATATTTCAGTAAATAGTTTCAATCAACTATGTTACAGGGTATCAAATCATAGTTATCTCAACCTTAATGATCCAAAAAAATAAATCAATATATGCTTTTTCCAAACATTTCAACATGGTTGCTCTTACTTCTTATCACTATAGTCAATCTAGATGCACATCCATGAAAGAACAAAAAGGGAAATCATTCAAAAAGGAGTTGTTAGTATTTTCTTGGACAATAAACATTCAATGTGTTGCATTTTTATGAGACAGAGGGAGCATTTGTTTTGTACCTAGTTATATATACGAATTATGCATTACCATGGTAACTTGAATTTAAGGTCCTTCTGATCAAATGCTTCACATATGTGCAAGACACAAAATCACAGTATGATTTGGTTGCCTATTGATGATCATTTAGATTGACTATGATTGAGGTTATTCCTCATTTCCTCTAGCTTTTGTATCACTTGCTTTCTTGATGGCATTCATACTTTTGTTACTCCTACATACAGAAACATAATTAACCACACACGTCTATTTGACTATTTGTGTTTTCTAGATTCAAGAACTTGGTTTTTTTAAAACCTTTTCCTAGTTTTCTACACTACTACTTGACATGCCATGGTGTTTCCATTTTTGAATATCTTGGCAGTTTGCTGAGGATAAATGGGGTATAAAGGTAAAACTGATCCAGTAGATGTTCCAAGCTATGGTGCAATATTTATGTCAAATGCTGGAACAAAGAAAGAGTGTTTTCAACGTAAGTTGCTTGGGCTACCTTTAGCTCAATCTAATTTTGTGTTGAATGTGAAAAAAGGAATGATTCTGTTTCTTTTTGAGTTTGAGAGGAGGCAACTTCATGGTGTATTTCGTGCTACTTCTAATGGTGAAATCGACATTGAACCTAATGCATTCAAATCATCAGGAAAAAGCTTTCCTGCTCAGGTATGTGTTTCTATTTCATTATTTGTATATGATTGTATGATCTAAACAAGGCTCACAAAGTTTAAATCTTTTGTTATGTAAGCATTCAAGAATCACAAAGGCTCTAACAATTATGATTCTTTATCTCTTATTTTTACTTCCACTAGATTTTATTTATTATGCAGGTTCGTTTTGCCCCTGTCTGGAAATGCAATCCTCTTTCTGAACATGAGTTCAAAGCTGCTATTAAAGAAAATTACTTCTCATGGAAGAAGTTCAATTTTGGGTTATCAAAAGATCAGGTATCTTTTATGCTCACATTTAATATATTCTAGAAATATCTTCATATTCTTAATTTCAAAATTTCCAGGTATATAGACTTGTAACTCTGTTCCACTCCAAAAGAATCCCTAAAAAGCCCTCAGAGGGAGATGCTAGAAGATTTGGTGATTATAGGAATACCATTAGAGATAGGGTTAGAGAAGATGAAGTTAAAGAAATAGATGATCAGGGCTATAAGTATAATAGGATACAAGATGAATATAATGTTATAAATAGTTTTGATCGAGGGTATTTTGGTCATAATGAAAGAGTGGAAAGAGAAGAAAGAACATTGACTGAACAACACCCACAATATGAACCAAGAGGGACAGATTATGATGAAGATTTTGGTTTTGGGGATGTTAATGTTACTTTTTTATCTCACATTAACCAAAATAATTCCGATTTTATCCCTATTTCTCAAGTATCATCAGAGCAATTTCAACACCCTTTTAACATTGGAAACACATATGAATCTTGTCTTCCTTATTTGACATCTGGTGATCCTTCAGTGATTACATTACATACCCCTTACAATCCTGAAGTTCCTGATTTTTGTCACAGATTGAGGGTTGATATGCATGTAAAGATTTGACACAATTTTGAAAGTCTATGGTGTTAACACGACAAGTTTTGGGTGTCTGATTCTGATTCCATTTTTGTATACTTGTAAGTATTTGCTGATCGATATTGTTACAAGTAGTTACTTTTGATGTCTTGTTGTGGATGAGTTGGTGGTAGGTTGTGTTGTGTCTCATGTTTACATGATTATTGGTATTTGGTTTTAGTTGTGGAGTTAGAACTTATTTTTAGGGACAAAGTAAAGAATGTTTAGATTTTGGGTTTTGGTTTTGTGATTGTTGGAAGAAATATATGTTGTTACCAAAGTCTAAGCTAAATCATCAGCAATATTCATGTTACATGTTTCTATATATAAGCATTTGCAAAGTGTGCTGAAAATAAAAACGTACAAGTGTCTGATGCAAAAATAGACAAATTATGTTTTACTTGTTTTGAGACATGAGTTTACCAAAACTAAACAGACTAAACAGTAACGACGTGTCTTTTGTAAACAACGGACTATCAAAATGAAGTTTAGGAGAGGAATATGCATTTGTCGTCTACAAAATCTTGTAAACATTTGGTTTTGACTTTTGAGAAAACAATCTTTCGTCAAACACCGTCTTTTACTATGCACATATCTTTAAAAGCAAAAAACCAAAACTACTGTTGATGAATGAAACGTTATATTCGAATTGTCAAACTTCCATATACTTTTTTTTTCATAAATAGAGAAGAATAACAAAAAACACTATGGTTTGTTCAGTTTTACGGTTTAATAATTTACCAATTTTCCAATAAAACCATACCATTTATGTTGACTACTCATCCTCGCTAGTAATTTTGAATGTAGGGGCGAATAATAGCACACTATACAACAGCTGACAAGATCACCGCCAACCAATAGCTGTCACAGCCTGTCAGCGTCCAACTGACACAACAACACCAACCGTATGGCTGGGTTTACTACCTTCCGTCCAAATGCCACAACCAAAAATACACATTTTTATCGGTCTGTCAGAAAAATGTTTTTTTCAATCTGAAATATCTATTCCGGACTAAATGGTTATTTTTGCCAAAAACAATTTTTTTTTTCGAATACACATTAAATTACGGTTAGTTTACTTAATTTCCCTATATATATTTTTTTTCTTTGTTTGAGTTTAGGTTCACATGTTAAGGGTTCACATATTTAGGGTCAATCTCAATCCACCCATTTACGGTGGGTTGAAGATCCGTTTCATTAAACGGATCAACTCAACCCGATTCAACAAAACAACTCCTTCCCCGTTTCATTTCTCTGTAGAATTCTAGTTCCCAATTTCGTATGAAGCATAAGTATAGTTATTTTGGTACGTTTATGCAATCGTTAGATCCTTAATTCATGTCTCCCCAATGATTAATATCTTCCTGTTTTTTTTTTTTTTCATGATACGAACACTTGGAATTGCTTCACAGGTTATAGCTGTTGTGTAATCTTTGTTATTCTGAGCATTTTGATCAAATCTTAGTTGATTTGTGCTTAAATTCTCCGATTCTTAATCACCTAATGAGAAGTCACACGCAAAATCATCGATGCACAAAAGAATGCTAGCCAAATTATAGCAAAATAAGGAAAATTAGGTTAATTTCATAGAATTATATAATGCACTCCTCCTTGGTGTATCTCTTTTAGAAGTAACAATCAAACCAAAATAATCAAATTCTCTAAGGTCAAAATTAAAGCTTGGATGTTCTTCTTGTGATTTTGACACATGATGAACTCTATAAGGGAAAAAAGTGCCACTCATCCCCCCTTCATTTCTCTGTTTACCCCTCTTTTAATTTTATTTTCCTATAATTTCATATCTAGTATGGTTATATTGTTATGTTCATCCATCCTTCAACTAATTTCAGTCAAATGATAAAAATGCCCCCACGAATCGCCCAAATCCGTCTCGTGAGCTCACACCCGCAAGTCTACGCGCCATGCGATGACTCATACGCGTTGGTAGACGCGCTACTAGCCGACCGCAAAAAATTAATAAACCACCGCCCAACAATTTGCATGGAAATCGGTTGCGGTAGTGGCTACATCATCACAAGCCTCGCCCTTATCCTTAAATCCGAATCAAACTCCCACTCCCCTCATTTTTTCGCAACCGACGTCAACCCTCACGCCACAAACGTGACACGCGAAACCCTCGAAGCACACGGGGTCCACGCAGAGATCCTGACAACCAACATCACCTCCGGGCTCGAGAAACGCCTGGCGGGGATGGTGGATGTCATGGTGGTTAACCCGCCGTACGTGCCGACCCCCGAGGAGGAGGTGGGCGGCGGCAGGTTGTCGGCGGCGTGGGCGGGCGGTGAAAATGGAAGAAGTGTGATTGATAGGATTTTGCCGGTGGCGGATAATTTGTTGTCGGATAGAGGGTGGTTGTATATGTTGTTTCTTGCGGCGAATGATCCGTTGCAGATTTGTCTTGAAATGAGGGATAAAGGTTATGGTGCGAAGATTGTGGTTCAAAGGTCAACGGAGGAAGAGACTCTTCATGTGATTAAGTTTTGGCGGGAGTTTGATGGTCAGTTGGAGGGAAATGAAGTGGGGTCCACGCCGAAATCGGCTCCGCAAAGGGGGTGGGATTTTATATTTTCGCAGATTTCGCGATTATCGTTTCGGGAGACAAAGTAGTGGAAAGTGAGATAGTGAAATTTATTTGTTTCAATGGAATAATTTGATGTTTGAATTGAATAGTTACATGGATCACAATTTTTGATTAAATGAAGCATTTTTGAGTTGCTAACGAGTTATAAAAGACACTATATGCTTAATATTTGAAGAGTTTTTGTGTTTGCTTCTACCATTTCAGTTGAATTATGGTTTGTTTAATAACATTGTGGTGTGTGGAGTAAATTAATAATAATCTTGTCATTCTTTATACGAAAAATAGAGTTCTTTTTGCTCTCGTGGTCCAATGGAGACGACTATAAACATAATCGAATCACATATCTAAAATGAATGTTATTATATGTTTGCACAATAACTCATTCGAAAAAAATGTATTTTTATTTGTTCTAATCCTAAATGACCGGTGGTTTTGGTTAAATTTATATAATCGGGTCAATTTTATAAAAGGAAAGCATCTAGAATTTTCATGTTTTTTCGGTTTGAGCCTAAAAAAATATTTTGCCAATTAAAACATACAATTTTTTTTCTTCATTTGTTTTTTCTATTATTCAATTTGCAGGTTAACTTCCGATAAATAGATAAATATAAATTTTTAGGAAAGGCTGTATGTCTATTTGTAAAAAAAATGATTTAAACAAGAAAATCCTCAAATTTAATAGTCTTTTATATGTATCTACAACTTTCCTGAATAATCGATGTGTGAAAAAAAAAAAAAAAAAAAAACCTAGCATGGTCATCAAAAAATGATATATTTTTATGGCTTATTTATTTGATTTTAGAAGTAAAAAAGAAATAATATGTTCTTTTTTTCACTTCAATAAAAAAAATACATAAATAATAGATAATAGCAGAGGGGCACCATTTTGTTGATTTCTCTTATTCTAGAGTAAATTACACGAATCGTCACTCGTACAAATGTCAAAATACACGTTCAGTCCCTATTTTTAAAAATTAACTCGGACCGTCCTTGTTTGTTTAAACTATAAATGGTATTTTAGTCATTCCATATCTCACAAGGGATGAAATATACAAATTTAAACTAACGAGGGACGAAGCGTGCACCTTTTTACGATATAAGGGACGGTCCGAGTTAATTTTTTAAAATAGGGACTAAACGTACATTTTGACACTTGTATGAGGGACGATTCGTGTAATTTACTTCTTATTCTAAGTTGAATCCAAAAAGTTTCCAACATATATAAAACATATGTTAGATGGGTTAAACACCATTTTGTTGATTTCTCTTATTCTAACTATGCACTTAAGATCTAAGAGGGGTTAAACACTTTTTTTGTTGATTTCTCTTGTTCTAACTATGCACTTAACCTAGAGAGATCAATGAGAGCAAATTTTAAAAAAATTAGCTAAAAGGACCATCAAACTCCAAACTCCAAATTGACGTGGAAGGTATTTTAAACTTTTAAGGAAACAAATATGTGCAATGACATATTTCTCCCTGAAAAATCAACCAATCCGATGCAAAGTACTCGCGATCCGGGTCAATTCAAATCAACCAATCAGATCACGCGTCAAAGTTCATATACAAGGGCAAGCTCCGTCCATATCCCCACATCCCACAAACAGCAATCTTTCTCCCTCTAGAAATTCAGTCTCTCTTTCTTCTAAATTCAAATCCCTTCAATGGCGCCAAAAGCAGAGAAGAAGCCAGCTGAGAAGAAGCCTGCGGAAGAGAAGAAAGCCGCCGTTGCTGAAAAAGCCCCTGCCGAGAAAAAGCCAAAGGCCGGGAAGAAGCTTACCAAGGAAGCTGGCGCCGGTGCCGCCGATAAGAAGAAGAAGAGAAGCAAGAAGAATGTGGAGACATACAAGATCTACATCTTTAAGGTGTTGAAGCAGGTCCATCCTGACATCGGGATCTCAAGCAAGGCTATGGGGATTATGAATTCGTTCATTAATGACATCTTCGAGAAGCTTGCTTCAGAATCATCGAAGCTTGCGAGGTACAACAAGAAGCCGACGATTACGTCGAGGGAGATTCAGACAGCGGTCAGGTTGGTTTTGCCCGGGGAGTTGGCAAAACATGCTGTCTCAGAAGGGACAAAGGCTGTTACCAAATTTACTAGCTCTTAGATTTGGGGGTTTAGGGTTTACTCATTGTAAAATTTCATCTTTCTCGATGAACTATGTGGGTATCAGATTATGAAGTGGTGATATTTTGTTTTCAAACAGTTGAATCGAATTGAAAAGTTTGGTTTTTAGAATTGGGTTTCAATAACTCTATTTTCCATGTTGAAGTTTCTAATAAATCTTTTGTTTGGTTGTGAATTTGTTAGTGAACTTGTACATGATCTGTTGCTGGTGTCTTATGAAATGGCTGAGTGCTCGTGATTAGGTCTCTACATAGATCACACAGCGGTGACGACTTAAACGTTTAGTTGCAATTTGCAAATGCTTTAGGCAAATAGGTATATTCTAGAAAGATTATTTTAATGGAAGAAATTTATATATTGATAGGTTGTTTTTGTTCAGTGAAATGGTTTTTAGAGGTTATTGGATTTTGTTTCGAATCAAAATCTTCTATCCATTGTTAGTGCAAAAGATGGTTTTAATTGCCCCTTGTGGCCATTAACAATTACCAAAAGTTATTGATTCTTTCTCATCGGTTGCAATTTTAGGGTGCCGTTTTGCTTTTGGTTGCTATTATTTGAGAACCCCCCCCCCCCCCCCCCCCCCCCCCCCCCCTTTTTTTTTTTTTTCGTGAGTGTGTAGAACAAAATCAAATACAAAGAGGGTGTTTGAGATTATTCTTGAAAGACGAAACTGCACAAATGGTCCTGTGGTTAGCTGAAAATTGTCACTTTAGTCCAAAAAAGTTTGGACTAGCACCAGAGGTCCAAACTTTTCATTTTGTTGCGAGTTTGGTCCGATTTGTTTTGAACTTTTTTATATAGACGATTTTGCCCTTGCTTTTTTGCTTTTTTTAGTTTTTTATTTATTTAATTATTTTTCTGATTAAAAAATAAATTAAAAAAGCCAAATCTCTCTCTCTCTCTCTCTCTCTCTCTCTCTCTCTCTCTCTCTCTCTCTCTCTCTCTCCTTTTGAAGAAAATATCTCATCTGGTTATCTTTCCAATCTCGTTTTCATTTGGGTTCTTCTAAATCATAACTCAATGGAAATCATTTGTGAGTTTTTTTTTCGAGGGTAATTTAAGAATCGGATTCTTAAATTCGAATCAAAAACTAAAATCCTGTGTGTTTGTGTTTCTGGAAATCAATTTAAGAGAGTGTATGCGTGTTCTAAATTTTTGGAAATCGATTCTTGGGTGTTCATCCCTCATCTTCATCTGGAAATCGATTTTGATCTGGAGACGATTTCAGAGATGGGGGAGGTACTGACCGCTTCTTTGTGAAGGCTTGCTCGCAGACATATTTGAGGTGGGACGCCACCTCTATCAACATCTCTCTTACAGATCCGATAATAGGGATGTGGTCAGACGAATGAAAAGATCGAAGACAAATAAGAATATCGAAGGTCCGCCATCTGAACAAATATGTCATCGTCTACACCTTCTTCACCTCCGACGCCATTGTTAGGGTTTCATAAACCTACACTAGGATAATGGTGGTGATAGGGTTTCATATCTTGAAACCAAAACGAAACCCTAATCTAGACTCGTTCTTACAGATCTTGAAACGAGAAGGTGGCGGTGTCAGGGTTTCAGGAAACGAGAAGGGCGACAGGAAGAGAAGAAGAGAGATGTAGACATATGAAGGGGTAGTGGGGGTGTTCTTTGTCTCATGAAGGATTCAATTTGGAATCTTCTTCTGCAGCAACTGAGCTAGAGATCGTCTTCATGGAGTGGTTGTTAAAACTTCTCCAGCTTCCTCGGTCTTCACAACTCCCTAGATAAGATGATTAAAAGTGATCTTGAAGTTGCATACCCAGATCTTCAAACTAGAAAAGGGAAATCATATGGGTGTCTTGATCGTTTGATTGGTTCCTAACAGTTTGAAACATGATTTCATTTCGTTGTGCAATTTATGATTTAAACCAGAAGCTCAACATAAATCGGTCATTGAGAATTTGATTTTTTTTTGAGGATAAACTACACAGATCAGGTGAAGAAGAAGAATAAAAGAAGAGAGAGAGAGAGAGAGAGAGAGAGAGAGAGAGAGAGAGAGAGAGAGAGAGAGAGATTTGACTTTATTAATTTATCTTTTAATCAGAAAAATATTTAAATAAATAAAAAACTAAAAAAAGCAAAAAGCAAGGGCAAAATTGTCTTTATAAAAAAATTCAAAGCAAATCGGACCAAACTCGCAACAAAATGAAAAGTTTGGACATCTGGTGCTAGTCCAAACGTTTTTGGACCAAAGTGACAATTTTCAGCTAACCACAGGGACCATTTGTGCAGTTTTGTCTTTTTGAAATGACTTTTTTGGCTTTTAATTTTTTTCAAAAAGTCAAAATATATTTGGGAAATATAATAGTTCTTTTCAAAATAATTTTTTGTAAAGAATAAGAAAATGAGTTTCAAAAGTCAAGAAAATATGACTTTTTATGATTTTTAGCATTTTAAAAGTTAAATTACACTTAAAAGTCAAGAAATACATCACACACATTTTTTAAAAATAACTACTATCTTTTGCCTCCTCAAAATCTAAAGTCAAAAAGAATTTTTAAAAAAAAAACTTTTTAAACTTAAAAAGTAATCTCAAACACTCCAAAAAATTCATAGTTCCACAACATTTACTCATCTAGAGGTCTTCAATATCATTTCAATACACTTAACGACCCACAATCCAATGGATTATTGGATTAGGTTGTTGGTTCATATATATGTTTACATGTTTGAATATTGACCGACTACTTTTTTTTGGAAGAGATTTATATGTTGCCGCATCATCTTTTTGCATATCACGTAAATACAAAATCAAGTTAACGAGTGGTAGTGTGTCTGTCACATCATATTTTATTATTATTATTTTTAATTTTTAAACAACTATTAATTTTATTAAAAAAATATTATTTTTTTAAACAAATATTAACTTTTTAAACAAATATTTATTTTGTTAAAACAAATACTTATTTTTTAAATAAATACTTATTTTTTATATAAATATTTATTTTTAACAACTACTAATTTTTAAAAACACAAACATAATAATATTAAAATACTTACCTAAAACATAAATGACTTAAACCTAAACTTAATTAATAACTTCAAATATTCTTATACCAATTAAATTTTTACGTAAGATCCGTCTTCGTAATCTGACAAGCCGACTCTGACAACTTACTATCGTCTTCTAAGAAGAGTTTTAGTGCTTTAGTTTTTTGTTTGATTTCATCCCTCTCCAAAATTTTATCGATTCTTGTGTCCCACATTTGAAGTTGCTCGCTTGTAGCGTCAACGTAACTAGATGAACTAACACCTCTAAGCTTCTTTTCTACATTATCACATCCCATAGGATGAGGTGGCATATCGTATGGGACCGCGTTGCTGATGTCGGAACCAACATGTTATCGGATGATTCGTTATGATTTGTCTTAAATGATTTGCTTTTTCTTAAAATCGCACCTATAAAATCGTCCACCGATTTAAGACTGAACCATTTTGGTATTTTGTGCACAAATAGTCAGAAAGACTTATTTTGCAAAGGTTTGTTGTATCTTGCTTGGTAAATGACACGAGCATTTGCAGTAATGTCCGTTTCAATAGCACCAATTTGTGGAATACAGACAATATTCATATAAATGACATTAAGCTCCATGATATTTTTGTTAGCCGTCCTCCATTTGGAATAAATTTGTTCATATGAGCGAAACGTTTTTCCAATGTGATTATAAAACTTTTCCAAACTCTTATCTTGAAGGTTGTGCCATCTTGGTTATCGCCTCACGTTGAATCTTTTGATAAGTCAAGTCATGATTCGGCTAACACCTTCTCTGTTATGGCGGTGTTATGGCGGTCTGACCTTGGCTTTGGTTCCTTCCTTTTTTCCTTTTTGTTGTGGCATGGGCTCATCTTCTGTAACATCTTAAAAATCAAGGTAAAATTTTCATTTTTCAAGAACAACCCAAAACCATAAATGTTTACAAAATATGGTTTCCAAAGTATAAAGATCACAAATCAGAGTATCCTAAAATCGAATCTCATAAAAAAACTGAAGGATGTGCACGATCAAGCCTTCGCCTTGCCCTGATCATCTGAAGTACCTGAAACATAAAACTTAAACTGTAAGCCAAAGCTTAGTGAGTTCCCACACAATACTCCATACAACCAAACAAAATATACATATTGCATGCTGGGTCCACAACCTCCCGACTGGATTACCCTGACCTACAGCCTCCCAGTTAGATTGCCATACATATTGCATACTGGGTCCACAATCTCCAGGTTGGATTGCCACTCTGGCCCACATTCTCTCGATTAGATTGCCCCGTGTTTGATGGCTTACAGCACAAAGTAGTACATCCTCAACCCAACCTCACTATGTCAACATTTACAACGGATACTCATATAACTAGCAAATACAGGTAATCATAGAGATCTATCAATCTAACATATAATCAACATAGCATCATCATATACTCCTGGATACATAACTTAGTGGGCCGACATTGGTGCCTTCGACTCACGAGTACAGTGAGGAGAAACTCACCTCGTAGTCTTAAAAGATAGCAGAAAAGAACGCTGCTCCAAATGCCAACTCTGCATGTCACCTATACAACAAGCAGTGAAATACACTCAAACTACACCTCAAAATACCCAAAATGCCCTAGGTCAAACCCCAGGTCAAAGGTCAAAGTCAGAAAGTCAAAATTCAAAGAAATTCAAAGTTGACTGAGTACGCCCATCGGACTCAGCCATTACGCCGAGTGTAAAATACATGACACTAACCACATACGCGCAGTGTACCACTTGGTACGCCCAACGTACGCCGTCTGAACCCATTCCTTCTCATTAAGTACTTATTCTTTAAGGTTTTTCCATCCAAACTCAGATATAAATTCAAAACAACGTCTTAAGTCATAAAGTTTCCACCTTTATAACTTCTCATGGCTAGAAAAGGTCCAAAAGCAAAAACCCTAACTTATTAATCCAATAAGTCACTATAGCTCTTGG